AGTGTTATATATTGGAAAAAACCCATACATCAAATTTGTAGAAAATGGTTATACTGTTATAGGATACACTTCAAACAAATGTTCCGATTGGGTAGTGGAACCTGATCTTGAGATTGGTAACATTAAATTATTAGATGATTTACCCGAACATAATTATGTTGAATATGATTATTATGATAGGAGTGATTGTAAACTTGTTGAAAATGACGCTTACCCCAAACAGTTGTTGTTTAAACAATGCACAAAAGATTCAGAAACTTCTTCTATAAAAGCTGAAATAATAGATAAAAAAATAAAATTCACAACTTATATGTCTTTAGACTGCACTGGTACCATCGATACAACTAAAGAACCAAAATTATACGAACTCTACAAATGCACAACTATTGAAGACAAACATTTGGTGTATTCCGAATTTGCATTTGAAATCTTTACATTCCTTGCTATTCTTATAGCGTTATTATTATAATTAATAATACACTTTACTTTAGTTTTTTAATACAGAAAAAAAGTTTGTTTAAAGGTTTATATATTTGTGTTTTTATGAACCAATCAAATACAAAATTCACAAAAAGAAATTTTGCTTTAAACCTTGAATTTAAATACTGTTTAAAAATTAAATACAGTAAAAAGTGTTTATTTGTGGGTTTATCATGGAATTGTGAAGTAAATTCTATTCACCATTTTTTCCACAAAACTCGGTGTTATAGAAAATATTGTAGTTTTTTTTAATTATAAAAAACTATATTATTTATCTAAGTGTACCTAAATTCAAGGTTCGAGAGCAAAATAATTATTTGTGGGTTTTGCATTTGATTGGTCCATTGACCCACAAATAGACACTTTTTACTGTAGTTAACACTTTGAATAACAACAAACAAAATTCAAGGGGTCTTAAATTTGGGAAATCTTGAGTTTATTAAATAATTTTTTAGTTTTTTAAAGTTCATTTTATGTAAATATTATTACACAAGCCAAAAGCGGACAATCGTCAAAAAATGAAAAAATATCACTGTAAGAACAGCTTAATAAAAACAAGAGTGTTATTTTAAGTGTTAATTATTATTGAAAAACTCTTCTATTACGAAAATGTAAATTTTTAATGAGAAAAAACAGTGAAAGTACATTATCACACAATTCGATCGTAAACCCAATATCGTTTTCAAGAAAACCGTTTTTATTTTTTTATCAAAAAAACAAAATGATGATAGGAACAAACTTATTATATTAATTTTTATCATCATTTTGTTTCTGTTCAGAACAATCTACATTAGTAGAATATTTTTTTCAACATTGAACATACACTGATACTTAACATCTAACATTATGTGTATACCTTTTTGAATTAAAGTATATTGGTACATCCATTGAAATGAAAATAAATCAAATAACATCTTTTGTGATGTTATTTGAAAATAACAATTCAATTCTGATTGTTGCAATTTTAAACTGCTAAATTTCATATTTTTTCTTTTTTAAAATGTTAGTTTTGGTGATTTTAGTCATTATAAAATATAGTCATTGTTGATTTCTATTAATTTTAATGTTTTATTCACATAAATAAAATTATTTGTGTGAATTTGTATTTTAAAATCACAGTCTTCAAAATAACAATAAATTTAAGTTATATTTTTTAAATACACAA